ATTATTATTAGGATGGAACGAAAAAGTAGATATTCTGAAGCAAAAAGTGGATAAAAGCGACATTTATTGCCCTTTTTACACTACGTGTGTAAAACAATATAGATTATAGAGTACACGGTATATGCCCATATCTGCTCATCATCATCATCATCACTTCAATGCCGCAAAGGCTCTCATCTACGATGGGGTAAGGGGAAGGTCGGATGTACGCAGTCTTACCCCTATACTAAAGCACCGAGAGACTGTTTCCGGATGACCTATAACGAAATTCACGTCGAAAATTGCATGCACTGACTACTGCTTCATAATAAAGAAGCACAAATAGTTTAGGAGATCATTTTGCTTTATTTATTCCATCATATTCCCAAACCAAAAAATAGTGAGTCTTTGGCTCCATATCTGCTATAAAGCGAAAAATATATGCTACGTTCAAAATAAGGCCACTTAATATTAGCCCAAAAAAACTAAATTTGTAAAACCTAAATAATTGTCTATATAAATAGTAACAAAAGAGATTAAATAACCCCATCAAACCTGTATAAACTAAATTATAGTCATTTATTTTTCATCTTTTATTAAGAGTGCATCTAGCTAAAATCTAGCTCAGGGTTATTGAATGGAGCGTCAATATTCATGTAATCTGGTTATCTGGATGTGACAAGTTCGAGAATTTAAGAAATTCGAAATTATTGATGCCTTGGAGATTATCTTACTGGATCAAACGGTAATTTAAATTTACTTTCAATTTATTATTTGTGATGACACATACTACTATTAAGGGAATGTTTCTCTTTGCTTCTACTTTTGAAAAGTGTTTTTTAAATTGATTTTGAAAAAGTGCTTATTAGTAAAAGCTGACATGGTTTGAAATAAAAGTGATTTAATTTAAAGAGTAAAAGTTAGAGTGCTTATTTTCTTTTTCTTTTTCTTGGCATAACTTTATAACGTATTATAATATCTGTTATATATATGTTAATGTCAACATTCTTGAAATATGTGATCTTCTCTTTGGGAGTGTCGCAGTGATGTCGTCAGGTCAAAAGATACTTGACGTTGGAGTGTTTGTTAGAAAGTGATTTTGATTGTAGTATTTTATAATGTATAAATTTGCCCTTACATAAATCAAATCTACAAATTATTAGGGAGTAGCACTGTGTACAATGAAGATTTGTGGATATTTTTGTTGCCATGTCAAGGATCGCGTAAAGTAGTAGGCTGAAGATTAGTGATGATTGATGAGGGTTGTGCTATCAACACCACTAATAATGCGATCAATAAATATGTTTTTTAAATTTTTTGAATCTTTTTAGTACATTGTCAACATATATATTGTTCTATATAATATATAAAATTTCATTAGACCCATTAATAATTATATCTCAATTTCACTTGAAATTTATCAAACAATCAAAAGTTTCATTTTTTACATCATAAAAGTTATATTAAAAGTTACATCATATAAACTCTATCGTCTTTCTTATGTAGAAAAAATTACACATTACGTACCATCGTAAAACATAAATTGATACATCATTATTCAATTCTAGATATACCCCGTGCATCGCACGGGTACTTCGTCTAGTTATATTTAATTTTGTATTAGTAAAAAATAATTAAAATCAGATTATGAAACTTTTTAAAAAATATTTTTCACATATATTGATAAATAAAATGTAATCAAAATAGAGTACATGAATAATATGTAATTTGCAATGTTGCAACTAATGCGATACGTATTTTTGTACCGACTCAGATCAATATACTGTCATGTCTACGACGTGTATGTTATAACTCATGCATGTTTCTCTTATATGTTGAAGAACATTCTACCATTTTCTGAATTTCTCTTAGTAGGAACAACGGTTTATAATTTCTTAGTCTAGACGTCTCAATTTCATTGTGCTCATTTCATTTATGCACTTTATTGTTTTATGCAGTTTAGCATGCACATTTTAAAGTTGATGTATTCTTCACATATATTACCGAGTATTGTACTCAATTTGTAATGTTTTATTGATGCCTGGTTTTTACGGAACTATGGAGCGAGTAATAAATTTCATTTCATTAATTCGAACACAAAACAATTTACTGTCTTGCAAAAATTAAATTGACTATTCTTAATTACTTAGTTTTGAGATGTTTAAGTTATGAGAAATAAAAAATATTGATAAATAAAAAATTTTGATAAATACACCAATTTTAATTCCTTCTTCTGGAAGCAGTGTTAGGGACCAAAAGCAATTTGATGGTTTTTGTGTAAAAGCGAATCTCTTGAAGGGAATTAAACTTTGTTGATTTATAAGGCATTTATAATTAAATAGTTTGCATACATTGCATCTTTAATTTATAATGCATCCATCCTATAGATTTATTTGTATGAAAATTTTAGAGAGAGAAACTCAAAAAACTAATACTACGTATTAATTTTTCATAATGCACATTGGAAACAAGTAAAAATTCATATGACATGTAGATCTCATAATTAAAAAACTTCATAAACAAAAATAAAGCTATAATTGCGTTGCTTCCTCATAAATCCAGTGCGGACGTCTCCCTAGAGATCTAGGGTTAGTGTTTTTTGCTTGCCTCGATCAACGGGGGGGGGGGGGGGGATTATATTAGGTGTCAACGCGTTTCTTCGAGTTTGGTTGTATGTAAAACTATAAATAAACATAAGGATATTTTTGTCATTTAACCTTTGTAATTAAGTTCGCACAAATTCGCACAAATGTCAAATACGGGTGCGTATTTTAAATAAGGGTATTATTGTCATTTAACCTTTAAACACAAACTTGATTCATTTATTTATTTGGATTTTCGGTCATAGATAAGTATAAAAAGTAGTTAGGTCATAGATTGAGAATCTAATTGAGTTTTAGTCATATTCTAATAAATTTCCCAAGTAAAAATGTAGTAAATGGGGGGTATTTGGAATCGATTCTGCTTCTACTTCTTTTTAAAAAAACAAAATCAAAATCAGTTTTTCAGAAGTTGGTCTCCCTTACCATCTAAAACACTTGGGAAAAAGGTCAAATAGGCCCTCCAACTTACATTAAAAGGTCAAATAAGCCCTTACATTAAAAGGCCCTCCAACTTACATTAAAAGGTCAAAAATCCCGGTGGAATTTTTTGATGAATTTTTTTGAACATCTTATTCATTAAGTCTAGTTTACTCATACCAAATTTCAGCTAACAATTCAATCGGAAAGGCATTCAAATGAATTCTCGAAGATAACTGCGCAGTTAAAAGAGCAGTTATCTTCAAGAATTCATTTGAATGTCTTCCCGATTGAAGTTTTAGATGAAATTTGGTATGAGTAAATTGGATTTAATAAATAAGATGCTCCAAAATTTTCATAAAAAATTCCCTCGGTAACCGCCCAAATGGCGACGTCCGAACAGAACCTCCTATATAAGGGCTTATTTGACCTTTTTATGTAAGTTCGAGGGCCTATCTGACTTTTCCCAAAAAACTTTAAGAAACAAATCCAAACACCACACAGTTGACTTGACTTAGGGAAGACCAACAAATTAAATAAATAAATGATTGGTACTACAAAAGCATTATACTCCGGACAACGTATTGTGTTTAGGAAACTAATAATTAATACGTTTAGGAACTAAGGAAACTAAAAAACCATAGTTAGAAATTCAAATAGTTGATGACACCCACTTAATTAAATATAAACATCGCAATTTTCCCTAATCAATGATTCAACGTCCGTGCTTTTAATCAATTAAGTGGTGAAGATTGGGTACAACCAAAGCACAGCTGTTTCGTTGGATGAGATAAAGGCAGGAGGACTAAAAATCAGAAGGGAATGAGCAAGTAGCCGCCGGGTCCCCCGTTTTATTTTTACGGCCCCACATCACAACCCCATCTTGGATTTTTACGTGTCTTTTCTGCAAGTTTGTTCACCATATTGCTCATGAGGATACATCTACAACAAAAATAGATTTCCACCCCAACATGGCTTCACATTGCATAGTATATATATACATTCGCGGAGTCAGAAATACGTAGTAATAGGCTAAGTAACGAGACTTAAAACTTAAAACTTCACTATATTTTTTATTATCTACTCCCTTTGTCACTAAATAAAAGTGTCTCTTTACTTTCAGACCGTCCCTAAATAGAAGTCCTATTTCCTTTTTTGGCAAATAAAACAGTGACAAACATGTCAAATAGTGTTCAAACAGCGGCAAACAATCCTACTTTCTTAAATTGTGTGTAAAATGCATATGGTCTTTTATAGGAACGGAGGGAGTATAAATATTTATAGTACATCGCAAATTTCTTATTGGAGGTGTCAAGGCCCCCTCCCGCCTTCCCCTTTCTCCACCCCTGATCTAATGTTAATTTAAAGCATCATTAACAAGAAGGTAATCATTGAGTCTATTGTATTTATTGAAACTCTGATTTACTAGCTAAATTGACTGAAACTACTGTGAAAGAATCATATTTAAATATTCAGAATATGAAAAATCATACTCCGTATTATTTTTTGTTAAGGAGAAGAAGATCATTGTATCTAAATGTTTTATATTTCGATGAGGAGAAGAATATAATTGAAGAAGAAGACAAAACAGGAAAAGAGGCTACGAGAAAGATTGACCAAGAAGGGGAATAGATGGTTAGATAAGAAAGTCTATCTACGGCAGAAGGATAATGAATGGAGACCATTATACTATGAGCATGATATAACCGCCCCACATTATGGCGGTGTTTGGTAAATGGCGTTTCAGCCAAAAAATAACGTTTGATCACTTTTGGCATTTTTTATGAGTCAAAACACAGTTTGGTAAATAGTGGTTCAATACTAGTGTTTTTGGACGGAACCGCTGAAATGAAAACGCTGCAAATAGGAGAGTTTTGGTTGGCGTTTTGTATTAATTTTATGGCCAAACAACTAAATTACCAAACATCTTCTGAAACCCCGCCAATTTTGATTCCGCCGGTCAAACCTGCGGATTGAATCCGCTATTAAAAACCCGCTAACATAATCTGCTATCTCCTATCAGCTAACCGCTAAATGCCAAATAATTTGTTTGAAATTGATGTATCGCAAAATGCATTAGAATGGAGATTTGGTGTAAATGACGAAATCCGGACATGATTTGCTTGAAAAGAAAAGAAGGGGGATGGAAACCGCCAAGGAAACCCTACAGGTACTCTTGTTTCATTCTCCATATAAGTATCTGATGCGATCGATCGAGTAACCATATTACCAAGTATGCGTTGGAAACTTTCGTGATTGAAATTCCAAATAAATAGAAATAATAAATATACAATCATCAATATAATACGCATCCTCATTGGTAGGATCATTATGAGATCAACTCGGTGACATGGCAAATTTTTTTGAGAATTATCATTGAGTGACATAGATTATTTGATGAGATTATTTACTACAATAATCTAAGATCAAAATATGGATCTAGATTATTTTTCATATTATTTGAATAGTATATGTAATTGACATAGCTGAGCAGCCACAGCTCAGCGGGACTGGGCGTGTGGGGAAAAGAAATACTTAAATTCGTTTGCAGATTTGGAATTGACAGACTATAATGCAGTTATGAGATTAGCCAGATCAGATACCCAGTGGCCTTCAACCATGCCGTCGTTCCTCAATTATTTTTTGAAATGTGTGTTTTTCTTTTTGCAAAATATAGTGATAAAAGAAAGAAAAAATGGATCATGGAGCATGTTGAAGGATTCCAATACTAATCTGATCCTGTCGATTAAGAATTCTACTTGAGAAATGAGAACTATGCTGTTAATTTGTCATCATTATTACGGAGTACTCCGTATTTATTATTGTAATAATAGTACTGAGATTTGTAAATGATTTGCTGCACGAAGAAAACAAAATATATTCAACGATGATCATTGTCCTTTCCAATACATGTCGACCCACTTGAAATTTATAGTAATGAGTTGCGTTATAGTACTCCATTAATGAGGTCACATTTAAATGAGTTGCCCCACTTAAATATATTGTTCCATCTGGGTCATATAATAGGGTGGGGTAAAAAAGATACCCGGGATACTTATACCATTTTTGTTTGGTAATATAGTTTTGAACTCATCAATCTTACGTAGTATTAGAAAAAGATGTATTTAGGATATGTTTGTTATTGCTTCTAGAAGTGTTTTTCAATTGAAAAAAGCTAAAAAATGGTGTTTGTAAAGATCAACTTTTGCTTATATTAATTCTTAGAATCCAAAAGCTCAAAGCAATAAGGAGATTGCTTTTAAAAGCTTTCAGGTATTTTTTTTGTAATTAGCTCCAACTTTAAGGACAATTATTGGGACAACACATTTACCAATAGTCCCAATTACCCAATACATTATGAGGTTTTTACGAGAATATTACTAAAATAAAACTTATTTACATAAATATAACTATTCATTACTACAACGTAGTGCTGTGTTAACTAAAGTTCAAAACTTGAACATGAATTACTATGATTTCATTACTACTCTAGTAATGAATCATATTTTTGTAAACCATCTTTATTTTGGTCATATTTATGTAATTATTTCATACATTATATCATGTAGGGGTGGGCAAACGGGTCTTGGAACCGCGGTCCGGTCCGGGGTAATGGCGGTTCGGGTCCAAAACGGGCCGGTTCCATTTTTTGTTTCCATAAAACGGTCCGGGTAGGGTCGGGTAATTTTTTTTAAGGAACCGGACCGGTTCCAAAATTAAAAAATAACGGGTACCCGGCCCGGCCCGTTATATATATTGTATATTAATTTATTAATAGTTTTGTGATAATCGGTTTTGAAATAGTTTTGTTTCCTGTGCTAGAAGTAGGATTTTAAATTGAGTTGCAGTAACATCCTTTTGTTTTCAAATTATTGATTAAATGTTTCATAAATATCTTATTACTTTTTATTGTTATTGAATTATTCCTTTCTATGGAATTTAATTATTTGTTAAAGATGATTTTGTTATATTTTTTTATTATATTGTTATTAAAATATATAAATTGTGTTTACCACCCACCATGTATGTGTCAACTTTGGCTAATACTGATAAATTAATATAAAAAAAGCAATCACTTTAATATGTGATGTTAGACAACATGTTTAAATACAAATGTTAGAAAATATGTATTTTGGCTATGTTGCATATTTTTGGAATTTCTTTAATTGTTTGAAACTTATATACAAGAAAATATGGAGTATTGGACTTTTCGCTTGTGTTATATATGCACCACTATGTTGTTATTTTGAAACTTGCTAATGTCCTATATTATTGATTATTGATTTTTGTAATTTCGTGAGTTTTTACTAATTTCAAGACATGAGAATAGAAACCGTAAAACCCGGACCGGACCGACCCGTTTCAAACGGGTCGGGTAATTTCCGGTTCCTATTTTGAAAATTGTAATACCCGGACCGGACTGAACCGTACAATGGAACCGGCGGTTCCATTTTATTTTGCATTACCCGCCCCGACTCGGCCCGTGCCCAGCCCTAATATCATGTGTGCCCCGTATGATTTTTTTATGGTAAGAGTTTTTGTGTACTTTTATTTGAATATCATATCATAAATCACCTTTTATCAAACACTTCAACTTTAACTTTTAATTATAATCACTTCTATTTCAAACATTTTTTCAAAAATCTCTTAATAATCACTTTTAAGAAACACAAACAAACACAAGCATATCTTCTGTAACTATTAGTGACTTTAATTGTGTGGAAATTTCATTGTAGTAATTACATGAAAATTAGTACAATGTAAATTTAGAAAGAAATTATAGACACTAATAATTACTAAGAGTCCGTTTTGTAACACTGAAATTGATTGAATGGACTGATTCTGCTGATGTTGTGACTGAAGTGGCTGATTTGACTGATTCTGCTGATTTATGAAAAAAGTTATTTTTGGAATATTTTTTATGAATAAAATAAAGAAACATTAGATGAAAAACTGTTAAAATGATCCTCTACAGTAACTTAACTTAATACAACCAGAAAAGTAACTTCAGATGTTTTCTTTTGGACTGTTTTCAGTCCCAGACCAGACACCAGTCTTAAACAGACCAGACCAGACCAGACCAGACCAGACCAGCAAATTTCAGTCCAAAAGAAAACATCCTTCAACCTCACATTTTCTTGTTATTACACAATTCAGCGCCAGAAATCAAAAGTTACGTGTTTGATCAGCGTTATGTGAAGGACAAATAAGTCTGATAAGCTGAAAAATAGAGTTATCAAACATTCTCTAAATAATAATTTTGTCCTTCACATTTTTATTAGTAAAAGAGGCCTACTCACCAATTTCAAGCAGATGCCTTTGACGAGGAAACGAACACAAGGAATTAGGAATATACACAATCGTAAAGCCCAAAGAGTGTTAAAGGAAAGTAATTGGTCATTTGGTAAGGTGTTTTGAGACTTCTTACATAGCGAAAATGGTCCTTCCGGTCTTTTCACGACAAAAAATATTGAAATTATATGATAAAGATATCCATCATATAAGGTTCATCTTTTGTAACTGAAACTTTTATATGATCACTTATCTGAGTTGGGATCATTCCACATGAACTAAAAATTTCAGCAAATTATTTCACCATTGTTTTTTTTTATACATAATTTTACTCTGAGAATAGTTGAAACCCGTCAAATTATAAGTCGATCAGATTGAAGCAGGGACCTCAACTTTTCCTGTTAGATATAGAACTCCAAACTGTAACAGTAGAGTAAATACTCTCCCAGAAGACTCACAAATGAGTACATTATTTTCAAGTAAAATGCTATTGACTAAGGTTCTTGCAACACTCTTTCAAAAGATCGTGCTAAACTTTGTGTTAGGAACTAGGTAGAATGATTACTAACAATATCATGTTCTCTTTTGAGAGCATGCACTTATTGCATTAAAAAATACAACTGAGTGGAAGGTCTAGCAACACTCAAAATTGACTTGAGTATGACCTACAAAATGAATCTTGAAGTGTCATTTTAATTAGTTTCAGCATAAAAGATCACTTTTTTTCCTTAGAGTGGCATACTTAAACATTTTTATTCTGTCATTATTTTGTGTTCATCCCTAAGAACCCCTTTGTTCATCTATTCTGACAGTCATCCATGTTTTGTTATAAATTATAAAGGGCATAGAGCATAGATTCACTATTTCAATCTTTAGAACAATAGTGAATCATCTATATTCAGAAGGAAATGATTCACTTTGTGAATCTGTGAACCAAACAAGGAAATATTGATTCACTTTATTTGTGAATCTGTGAAATCTGTTAAAATTAAACCGAAATGATTTTTTAATTGCTCCCTTACACAATTCCTTCATACATGTTACAACATCTATTATAAACCAGCTTTGAGTAGTTCAATCACTCCAATGTTTTCTGTTTTATTCAATTTTAGGATTCAAGATAATACCTATGGTTTGTATTATGAACTTTATGGAATGAGAAAACCATTGCTTGGTAGAAATACACCTAATTTCTGTTTCTTTGACTTGCTTTTTTCCCCTTGCTTATGACTCTCATAAGAGGGTAGGATGAACACAATTACATGGATGACCTGAAAGTAATAAAATGTCTCTATAACTATAGACTTGAAACTAAACCAACCAATCTGAAAAGTGGAACTCCATGCTATAGTAAGTTTTACAAACTCAATAGGAATAGACCAAAGCTTGAATAGACCAAAGCTTCAATAAGAATGGCAACAAAGACTCTGCTGGCTCTTTCTCTGCTATTCACTTAATCAAAACATAAAATTCAGCTGTCATAACTTTAATCAAAACTAAAATTGATGCTGCTCACAAAGTGCTTATACGGTGATCCTCAATTACTAGGCTTATACAAATTGACATTAAATTAGGTCAGCCAGTGCTTATTGAATTTACAAATTTTCAAGAAACATATCCCCTACTTTTTAATTCGCTTTATGTGTTCTATACAAAACACATACCTAAATACATACCTTCGTTTCACAACACATGTCACATTTGCTCTTCTACTAAGAACACATATGTAAGTATCTTTTGAAAAATGGTTTGGGCTTATATCATACCCCCTCCTATACTGTAACATTTATCTTTATGTTGCTTTTCTTTCTCTAATCCTTTGTTTACACCCAAAACACAGAAAATCAGTAACATTTCCTTTACCATACACTACATTTGTGTGTACTTACTGTGCATATGATGATATGAAGATGGACAGGCTTTAATTTCTGGGAAAGTAGTACTAATTTTCCCAGACTAATTTTCAAACTCTGGGAAAGTAATACTGATCTTTGCTACATGTAGTAAAGATTGAGTTTTTGTTGTCGTTATGGTTTTTCTCAATGTTCTATTTACTTTTATATGCTCTCATCATATTTTCTTTTTTCTCTTTACAAAATTGTCTTTAGCAATTTAATTTTTGAAATTGTTTTGTTGATTTGTCAAATGTAAGCAGATGAAAACTTAAGATAAATAAAGATTTATATGAGAACCAACAAAAAGTAAAGAAAATGGTTTAAAAAAACTTTAGAAGAATCAATTAGTGTCTAAGAAAATGAACTACTATCACAAATACTTGCATACCCCTCCAACTATTACATTCTGTTTTTAACTATCTGAAACACGTTTTAAAATGCTGCTATATTACTGTTATTTTGCATAGTAAAGTGCTATGTTGTCGCTGATGTGCTACTATGATATGAATAGTGAACCGCTGTTTGGAATGCTGCTTAAAGCCAACTCTTGATGGCTTTACATGTGTTTGGATATTAGCTTTCTCAGGTTTTTGAAAGTTTAGACTAAATATATGAGAATGTGTTGCATGCTTTTTTTAATCCTCAATTAGATTTTTAAACAATGATATAGTCATCACTCAAATTA